AACCCCAAATGTAGTAATGTTTATACTTTTGTTTACGTCTTTTGGAATGCCATCATGGGCTATCCAACCGCTCCTGTAACTTTGAGACAATCTACAAATCTGGTATGGACACAACCTGTCTTGAGCACCTTTACCTGACAGTAACAGTAGACTGTTACACCAACTTGGTTGAAGTTGATTTCCTGCGGGATACCACCCACAGAAACAGTGGTAAACAAGCTCAAACATCACTTTACCAGGCATGGCATACCTGAGAAGATAAGTGATTGAGGATCACAATACAGCTCCAAAAGGTTCAAGCAGTTCATTAACAAGTGCAGCTTTACCCATGAATTCTCCAATCCAGGACACAGTTGGGGAAATGAAGTTGCAGAAGCTGCAGTAGAGATAGCCAAGAATATAACACAGAATGTGCAAGCAGAGTCATCAAGAAGATCGATAAACTGGACCTATAAGCAAATCTGTGTGTGACCCTTAATAGGACATACCGGTAGTCATCATGCAAATGGGTGTTTCTAGTCACAGAGTTAAAGTGTCATTACAATCTAGGGGCGGTCAGGTAGCCTAGTGGTTAAAGCGTTCGCTTGTCATGCTGAAGACCCGGGTTCGATTCCCAACATGGGTTCAAAGTGTGAAGCCCATTTCTGGTGTTCCCCACCATGATATTGCTGGAATATTGCTAAAAGCAGCTAAAATTCAAACTCACTCACTCATTATAACCTAAACTAGCTTCACATTTTCAGTTTCTAACAAAGGCATATTATTTCTTTAAGAGGAAGGATGTAACGTGCTGAAGTGTATAGGAAGATGTACATCGTGTACATCAAGTGTTTGATTATCTCCCTTGTCTAAGTGGTCATTAAACCTACTGACAAGCCTGACCGTCTCTCTCCTTTCATATTGTGTGTGTCACAGACACATGTATGTAACAGGTAGCGCATCTGCTGGAGAGGCACATTTTGGTTCTGTGTTATGAGATTGACGAGAGAGGGAATTGGCAATAGGTTGTACCAGGATACGAAATAAGTTGTCTGCAAACTCCGGTTTGCTTGAAAACATTTTCAAAGGAACCTTTTACCAACTTATACATGTATCATCAAGCCATCGAAACTGATGTTGAATTGTTTGATAGGCATTTCTCAGAAGTTGACGGATCAGGATAGTTCAAGGGAAGTAACTATTGCTTTGTTTTTTCTGTCCTATAGTGTAGAGAATGATGTCTACAACTCTGAAATATAGCACAATAATGATACCCTGAGTTTATAAGCACGTTTGGGCTAAGACATCAAAACTGTTCCCCACTGTGCTGCCAAATAAATGTATTTCTCAGGAGTTTTTTCTATACATATAAGCAGCAGTGTACCTGCATTTGTACAAAGGATTTTCTGGTTTGTTTACATGCCGCCGCCATCCCATGGCAGGGGTACTGCTCCAACGTCAGGCAATAAATACTTGTGAGTGGTGAGTGGTGAGTGGTGAGTGGTGGATGCTACCAGTAGGGCAGGACATGTTTACCCTTTTCACAAACACCTGGTGTCATACCTGATTTTCAGCGGTCCATTCAAATGGTTTTCACAGCTATTGTGCCCTTTAAGCCAAATGGAATCTGTTTTGGCAGATTATCCAGACTGGTTATTCTGTTGCACTGACATTTTATGTTTATTTGAAATTAATTGGAAACGAGATTTGCGCATTTCTTATACAGACAACTTACCAGTTATATTCCAAACAAAGGTTACCTTTTTATTTTTTCATTTTTTATCCTCTTCCACCTTCCTGCTCCATCTGAAGCTGAGCATGGAGAAACACAAAGTGATATTGATGTAATCACAAACAAGTTCCTGTTGAAGCTATCGATGTAACACTATCTTGTACCTAATGTGGTATCTAATGACAAACCAAAGTCCAATAGTTGTTTTTCTTGAAACAAGGCGGCCTTGTAGTAGCTAGTCTATAGTAGATTGTCTCAAAAACAAGGTGCTGTTGGAACCATGAAGTCGAGTAATTGTTTATGTTATAGTCAGTTTGTAGTTCCAGGTTATGTGGTATCACTTTCAAGGTCCTGTAAGAGCCATTGTCATACCAGATCATGTAGAGAGTGAGAGCTGGTGTGTGACTTAATTGCCAAGCAATCTGAAGGACGGAGGTGGGCATCATCTTGGGATGGTGAGGACATGGTACTTTGTGTGGAGGCCTGATGTGACAAAGGTTTTGTGTGTTTGCTGCTGCACCCATGGACCCCAGATCCTGGTGTGAGAAAAGTTTCCAGCTTGTCCACGCAGGCATCCTGATAGTCATGCACCCATCTGTTCAAGAAACATACATATATATATATTTATATATAGATACATACAGGAGATATCTTATAGTTGTGAGGAAAACCCTATCCACCGCACTAATGCAACTGCTAACGGCTTGTTTGAATCAGCTGCACAAACAAGGCAAGGTCATGGAGACCATCTTCGATAGTCATTTATAAAACCAGAAGGGACAAATTCGTCAAGTGACAAAAGGGAATTTCTTATTTCACTTCAGGAAGGACAAGAAACTGAGACATCATTGAAGGCAACAGACAAGCTCCAGCCTCCGTACGACCATGGACACATAATACGATATATTTAGGGTCCATGGTACGACTCCATGATGGCCTCACTAAAGGTACTCACACAGTACTAAATCTACTAATGAAGTCATTTTCTCTGGATGACATGAAAAGTACCATGCACATTCCAAAAATGGAATTATTAATTGTACTGTCAGCATTAATGGAACGACTCTAAGAACCCATTAAAATGCTAAAACTTCTAATAGCTTGGGGAAAATCTATGGCTACTGCAGCCAGGGTGTCTGCTACACGCTATGGATATTTCCTCAATTACACACATAAAAGACTGAAGTACAATATCTTTGAGGTCCCTACCACAATATATTGACCTGAATCAAGTCATCGGCAATACACGATCCCTACCTTAAGTAGAACTGGATTATCCTGACAGGCTTTTATGTCCCTTCAGAGCTTCGAGATACTTTATTAAAGCAACTTAAGACCACAGAAAGCATAGAAAACAGCTGTTCATGTCAGGCAAGCCGTGTTAGAAAACAGTGGTGAGATGGCTCAAAAACACCATAGAAAATATCTATTTACATTTAGTACTAGCGACTCCCTATCCCCAACACCAGGCGGATCATCCAAGCCCTCTATCAGAGGTAGCACTACGCATCGAGGCAGAAGCTGATCGCCACCTTGGCGAACACCTCATTATCATTCTAATTTGTCAGACATTACAAATGGCGAAGATGGCCATTCCTCGATAGAATAGAATACACATCTCGGCTTAGCGCAAGTACCCGATTGGGTAGTGTACTGTCTCGTATCAGAGGCCCATAACCCTGGTAATGGGGTGGATAAAATTGACACCATATGGTCGCATCCTACATCGATTCCGGTCGGCCGTATGCTGACAGAAATGTCTAGGTCATTGGATGAAGACTTCTCCAAGCTCACACCTACGTCGTCATTTGGCTTGTCGAGCTCAGAAATCTAGCACAAAACAATGCACTACCCCTCCTACAGTGGTCCAACCTACTCATCCACCCTCACAGCAAATTGCCTCACCCAACACTGGACAGATTTCATCTGCATGTTTGGTTCGTCTTCAAAAGACGTTAAGTGTGAAGGGCTATTCAGCATGGACAGCAAAAGCTATAGCTTTAGCTCATCGTCCCTCTACCAGAGGACTATACAATGACAAGTGGGGATCATTTGAGACTGCGTTACCATAATTCCTAGCCAAATACCTCCTACATATGCGTACCCAAAGACACTTGAAAGGTAGCACCATTACTACGTACTTGGTTGCACTTAACTCAGTGTTGGCCGATCCGTAAAACCGCAAGATGACGCAAGGTCCCGGAACTACAGGCGCTACTACACTCACTCCAGCTTGAGGATCAGAAGGCCAAGTTCTGACCCCCAGCTTGGGAATTGAATGAGGTTTGCGCTGGCTCCCTTCGAGCCACCGCAATGAACCCTCACTTTATGACCTCACCAAGAAAACAATTTTTCTCTTGGCTTTAGCCAACGCGGCGCGGGTGAGCACTTTACATCATCCGTGTCCATTTTGAGCATGGTAGGCAGAGAGCATCTCAGGTTGTGCTGGGATTTCAAAGCGAAAAATCAACTTCCAGGCAAACCAGACGATCCTCCACCACCCTACCAATCTCAACGATTGTGGGGGTTGAAAATGAGGGTGAACTCCTATTGTGTTTGGTATGTGCTATGAGTTTTCATCTGCCACTCCAAAACTAGACTTGGCTCGCGGAAACGTTTATTCATTTCGGTATCCCGTATGTCCAAGACAGATGTCAGTCACAACACTATATCACTATGGTTACGGGCAGTCAACTTGTAGTCTAATGAGATTGCTAAACCTAATCCGCCAAGGGCGAACAACCCTCACGAGATCAGTCTACCTGCAAATAATTATTCATGTTAGTTAGTTAACCGTAATTAAAACAGAACTAATAACTGCCAAATGCTACTACAGTACATTTGTTTCCAGTTTGGATGGTGGGATCAAGCTTCATGTCAAGGGCAAGGCAACAGCTATCCCCACAGTGTCCTGAGCTGGTGCCCCACAAAAGGATCTTCAGCTGTGGTTATACACCTGGGCTCTAACAACCTGGGTTTGATCTAGACAAGCCAGCTCCTTCTAGATATGGAGATATCCATCAAGTGAATCCAGGCTCACTCACGTTTGTTTTTCTGACATTCTTCCACGCCATTACTGGCACAATGCATGTGACCCACGTAAGGTAGAAAAGAGCCGATCTAAGCTAAACAGGCGGCTGGCCAACCGTCTCCGTGACATAAACTTTTCATCCATCCCCCATCCAAAAATAGTTTCTACTGAGTGATCCTGGTTTCAGTGGCAGGGAACCCACCTTAGCTTTAAGGGAATCCAAGAATACATCAGAGATATCCACAATGCCTTGGTACCAATTTCAAAGATAGTCATAAATAAAGAAAGTAATCTCATGAAGCAATCCTGGCGGGCACTCGAATAATCATCTGTGGCTGTGGGGTGGTGCGGTTCTTCTGGGCTACCTCCCATATCATCATTATTGATATTAATATATATACCAATTAGGGTTTCCGGTTACCTGCTTTCCAGCGGGAACCCAGGCTGAGTTCCCTTCTTACCAGTTGGAAGCCAGTCTTTCCCCGGTTTTCACTCGGGAATCTAGTAACAATTATATTTCACAATGCAAATTGCCACATAGCTGGGCCTTGTGGCATTCGCTCCAATTTAGACCCGAGCGTTGGTCGGGTGGCGATGTTTCCGTCATTTGGGCCTTAGCATTAATTATCCATTAACAATTATGTTTGGCGATGCAAGTGGCCACATAGCCTAATTTGGCCTAGCCTTGTTTTGCCATTTAGGCCTTTAATAGTATTTACTCCTTTCTAAATTGGGGTAGTGTAATGGAAGTTTACACTCTACACTCGCCACAACCGGAACAGGAAGTTACCTTGGTTCATACGGTTGTTTTTAACATCCGGGGTTTTGGAAAGGGATATTTAAGCACGTGCGTGCCGCACGAGCTTGAGTCAGCGTCTGGCTCCGGGGACAGGCTTGACGGAATCTGTGCACACGTGCGTTTGGTATGGTAAGATAATTGTATTAGTAGTAGTTTGTTCTTTTTATTTGCCCAGTCACACCATTTTTCTTTCTGTGTAGGTTATCATGTTTGTTATAATGGGATAGATTTAGAACGTAGCTTAGTAATATTTTCTGCTGGAAATTGTGTGCCAGTGTTGGTTAGGCTAAAGAAGTTTCAAAACTTTGGACCCGGTGTGTCAACCGAGTGTGTTAGATATGTTCGAGGACTGTGACTAGTAAAAGCGTTTGACGCCTCCGTGTCTATCGTTAGATATTGGTAATACTTCCATTGGTTTGTAACCAGTTTGTGTAGGAACATGTAACACATGTATACTGGTCGATAATACTTCCATTGGTTTGTAACCAGTTTGTGTAGGAATTTGTAACACATGTATACTGGTCGATAATACTTCCATTGGTTTGTAAACAGTTGTCTGAACATGTAACACATGTATACTGGTCGGTAATATTTCCATTGGTTTGTAACCAGTTTGTGTAGGAATATGTAACACATGTATATTGGTCGGTAATACTTCCATTGGTTTGTATTTAGTGGAGTCTGAACTAGAAATTTATGTATATCATTTGCAAATACTTGAAAATGGTAATAAATCAGTATGTGGAATAATTTTGTAGTTTGTCCCTTGTTTAGGATTTAAGCCTTACTCTCTCACTCAGAGTGCCACCCAAACTGGGAGAACCTCTTGTTTGAATTTTTGTAAGCGTAACAAGAGTTTATGCAAACTCTTGAGGCGGGAATGAGTCTATAAAAGTAAATCGCTTACAGTAGCCCTTTAGAACCTCCACAACCTCAGCCATTAAAATCCACTGTTGCATCTTTGTCATTCCTTTAAAATAGCCCAGCTTCCTCCGGTAAGTGGGCTCTGCAATAATGCCCACCACAACACTGTACATCAACATGGGAAGATGGAGAGATCATGAAATAATAGCTCCAGCTACATTGAACACAGTATCCATCTAAGAAGTGGTGACGAGCTGCCAAAGGAAATACATTTTCAAACGTACAAACCAATATTTCAGGGACTGTACTTACTGCCTAGGCCCTCTGGTTGCAGCCAAAGTTATAGTTACCTAGTAACTGATCGCCCCTTTTCTTTTGAGATTCCACGCACGCCAGAAATTCAAGGTGAGTTAGCCCTTGAATTATTGGCAAATCGGTGTAGGCGGATCTGTGGCTTACCCATATAATCATAGATCTAGGTGAAAAACTCCTGCATGTTAGATTCGGATGTAACATTGTACGAGATACTGAGAAATCATGTCAATGGGAGACACAGTACCTGAAAACATGTCGAATATACATAAATATTACTGGCATGAAATGAAAGTGATGTCATCAGTGGGAAAGGACATCACATTGAGAAGCCCTAGAAGTGGCAATGGTGACTTTTGTTAGCCTAAAGGTGCAAAAGGTAGTATCTACTGGAATTGATGTCAGAAGGGATCTCATGAGTAGTTACATTAGTGCAGAGGACCAGGTTTTCCCCAACTATTAGATATGCATGGCAGTAAGAGGACGTCTGTTGAAAAATCTAAACATTTTATAGAGTGATTGCAGCCAAAACAGGAATTTACGGCGCTGGAGTATTCTTACACATGATGGTAACAATTGTTTGATTTATATACACATCACCAAGTTATAAACATCTGCATTCAGTGGAATATCTAGTTGGAAACCTGGCTTGAACAGTGTATGTGAGGGATGTCACCAAGTCACACCATGTTTGTCTGTGTGATTTCATACGAGTCAGCAGAGACTGCATTGGTTGACAAGAGGACAACAATGGTCCACTTGATCCAAGGGCGCTACTCTGATTTACAGCACATAGTTCAAGGTCATAAGTAGACACGGTAATGAATTTTGTAATTATCTTTCGACATCAACCAATAGTTATCATTGTGAATAATTCTAAGAATACCACCTCTATTACATCAGTTGCCATAAATTCCTGTTTATGCTGAGAACCACACTATCAAACAATAGTTATCATTGTAAATAATTCTAAGAATACCACCTCTATTACATCAGGAATTAATCCCTCCCACCTCCCCAAATATCTGCATCTAGTTGATGAGGGTAATGGGTTGAAAGAAGTGAGTAGATTCCCGCCTTGCGCATGTGTGGTGGCGCCCCTGGCAAGGGATAGGGTTTCCCGGACAACTATAGATATGTTGGCAGTGAAGAGGACGTCTGTTGAAAATTTATAAAAATTTATAGTGTGGTTCTCAGCATAAACAGGAGTTTATGGCAACTGATGTAATAGAGGGGAGGTATTTGCAAGAATTATAATGATTTGATTTTCAGTGATGGTCTGAACCTTTATAATGCCACAATGCTTGCACTACTATAATACAAAGTGAGAGTCTGTATACTCTCTCTATTTAGAACATGTTTGTTTGCAACTCCTGCGATAGATCATAGGCAACTGCAAAAGCTCATGGATTTGACTTGGTGGTGGGATAGCCTGGGGGTTAAAGTGTTAGTACATGGTACAATGTCTGATACGATTCTTTGAGTTTCCCTCCATAATATTGCTGCAGAGAACAGCTGCACAATGCTATGGACACCCCCATTCGAATGACCACCCGATACAAAAAAATGTCACATCCACATGTGATGTTATTAAACACTGTTTGATAATGGTATTATTAAGCAAATGGTCTCTTCATGGACTAGTAATACATGGTGTTTTCAGACAGTCAGAAGTAGTGATAATTCATGAATATATGCAGAAATGTCTGGAAGCTGAATGTAATCATGCAGTTGATGATGAATTACCTGACACAGTTGAACCTGACAACAGCTCGCATGTCATCGGGCAGCTGGTCCAGCGGCGGCCACTCAAACCCATCCATAATGGGCACTATGTTACAGTTGCTCTCCAGCGCAGCAACAATTTCTTTGTGCACCCAGTCCTCCCTGTTGCTGTCCCCAATACATCGGTCTAGAGAGTTCGGAGTTAGGATGAGGATGAAGTTACGGGAAAGATGGATGCTCAATAACAGATTTTCGTCAAACTTCCCAGCTCTTAAGCGATCAATATCCAGAAATACAGAGAATCCTCGAAGTTGCAGGTGAACTTTCAGTAAACTAAAATAAAGTTTTGGATTAATGGGGGTATATTAAGATCAAAGGTCATAGTAATAGAAGAAATAGCATGACTGTAGCTCACCTGAGTATGTAGTCAACAGTTGAAATGTCGGCATCAGCTATTCAAAAAGTTTCTGCATAAATACTGAAATCTAGGATCTGCCATGTCTGTAGAAAATGTGATTTCATCAAAAGGAGAACGCAAAATTCCAAAGTTCAGCATGGTCAAAATCCGAAGTATTGAAAAAACGCAACAAACATACACAGTTTCATTGATCAAGTGCAAAGGTCAAACAAGTGTCTAGATTTAAAATATGTTGAGCCTCACAACTAACTCAATACAGACCAATGACCATAACAAGCATTTTCAACATGGCTGCTTGTGGCGGCCACACTGAAAATCAAATTCAAACCTCTTCAATAAATTGGGCTGTTGTCATTGGTGGGAACAAACATGTGAAGTTTCAGCTTCAATGGTCCTTTGACCCGTGAAGATCCGGGGTAGAATAGGTCTTCAGCAACCCATGCTTGCCGTAAAAGGCGACTATGCATGTCGTAAAAGGCAACTAACGGGATCGGGTGGTCAGGCTCGCGGACTTGGTTGATGCATGTCATCGATCCGAATTGCGTGGATCGATGCTCATGATATCAATCACTGGATTGTCTGGTCAAGACTCGATTATTTACAAACCGCCCTCATATAGCTGGAATATTGCTGAGTGCGGCGTAAAACAACAAACCGACCAAACAAATCATTGATCCTGTGGTTTCTGAGGAGATGTTTATGTTGTGAGTGTTGCTGAGCCACAGTACTAACTACATATACACATATATACCAAACAAAATGGCTGAGTTAAGGCCACAAATAGACTTTTTCAAATGGCTGCTGTGTGGCCACAGTGAAAATTGGATTCACACCTCTATTTTGTGAGAACAAGCATGTGAAATTTCAGCTTTATTGGTCCAATTGCTTCTGAGGATGTGCTTATGACAGATGACACATTTATTTCCAATCAAGACACCTTTGAAAAAAACTTGCTACTACATAAGGTTACAATTTCACCCCGTCAGTAAGGCCTCTGGCCCTTTAAGGTTTTGCAACAACATGAGCTGACATGGCCTTCAGGCGAGGTAAGCTAAAACCAAACCATATTCGACGTAATAAGCGCACAGGGTGCTCTCAAAATCAGAAATAGGGGGCTCTTATTAGAATATTATTTTGGTGAAAAAAACAGAGTTGAAAGATAAATTTCATGGTTTATGCTGACAGTCTGAAATGTTAATGCACGACAGATATATTTTTCCAGAATTTAATTGCCCATAATTAAGGGTGCATATAACACACGAGTGTGTATTATACGTGAATAAATAAGTCTTGTGTACATTGATCAATTGGAAGGGGTGCTAATTTGGATTGTTCACCAGCCAATATATTAGCAAATGTCATTGTGGGCGCTTATTACGCCAAATACGGTCTATCTTACTGAGCCCACACCATACTTGCTGCATATCAAATTTCAAAATAATCCATCAGAAATGAATATTTGCGATATATAAAAATTTGGCCTACCTTTAGAATACAGTACCACAAACTTTTCAAACACATAACAGTACCCTAAGACGTAATTTGTAGTATTTTGTTGCCAGTCACACCGCCGAAACAATGCCCTGTGACGTCAGGGGTCATCGAGTGTGCATAAGCTCCTCCCAGTGATCTGTCATCTCTACACACAATGTCATTGAATACGCCCAGCGGTGTTGAGAGTTTTGAATATTTGTTTACTAAATATAGACTGCGGCGTCGCATTATATAGCAAGCGCTAGTTTACGAAAACACTTTCATTTTATATATATTTTTTATTTCGTTTTTCTCGTAATTCAGGTTGCTAAAATGGTTATAAATGGGAACTTTATATTATTTTTTCGGTTCATTAATTTTCATTATTATGCACAAGAATGCAGTTTATTAGCGATACTCTATCCTTAGTCCTTGGATCCCCTTTACGATCAATCATCCCTTTACGATCATTTGGATTAGGGACCCATTTAGTGGCTATAATAGATCCTGTAGTGGCTCCTTATATTCTTTACACAAAAACTTTGAGTCAAAAGGATGAAATGGTTTTGTGTCGAATAATTTGGCTGAAAACTGTCCTGGAACATTCACACAAGCCACTTTCACTGGCTCCATTTTTTCAGTACTGATTCAAAAGCGAACTCACCGTTGTCATCACTAGCTATGCTCATGCCTCCCTCGTTCCTTCTATTATCCACATCATCCTTACAGTGTTCCCTACCAACCTTTCCTGTCACACAAAAATCACCAGACGAATTATTTAATACCATGTCATTCACACGTACTCGCGTGTTCAACATCTGACGTCTGGAGACTTTTTCAGTTAGCAGCATATCGGCTCATTCCTCGCCACTCGGTATCTTGTAGATTACGGATTGGGACGAGTGTGCCAAATAGCACCGGGATCATTTGTATGTGTCAGTAGACTAAAGTCACGAGACACCATGCCTTCCCTGAACCTTCGTAAGTATCCTTCACCTATTCGACCCTTTTTGTTCAGTTCTGTAAGGTCGTAGACATGACTAGGTAAATTTGCACTTTGTTTCACAGTGTGGACATAGCTCAGTTGGTTAGCTGTTGGGCTAAAAATCTGAAGGTCACAGTTCGCATCTGATGGATTCTCGTAAAAACTGGTTGCTTGACTTTGAGACATGTGACCTACAGCAGAGATCATCCTAGCAAAGAAGTTGTGGTACGGTATTCTAAAGGTGCTCCACGAGAGTGAATGTGATCTTTAAATTCAATTACAAGTAATTTCAGAACATTACCAGTAAGTGAGTTGAATGTCAATATATCGGTAAACTAAGTATCAGTAAATTAATCAGTTTCAATGCCAAAGTACACACAGCAAATGTGGTATAATAAAATAATAAAAACATACCTTGCCAATTGTGACCCATTGGAGCGCCTGTAGGATAGAAATACATCATTAGCCCTCAGACCACTGCCAAGACTTGACGCCAGATCTCCAACTGCCATCACAAGATTTTGTCGGCTTGAATTAGGACTTGACAAATCTGAAAAATCATTTTTGCTACTGAGAATATTTGGTAACATTAAGGATGTCAACTGTTCAAAGTATTTAACTTTTTCTGAAATAGGTATTTTTCAAGCCGAGACAATTAAACCATATATTAAAAAAAGGAGGTCAGTGTGCAATGAGCTAAGTTAAATTATTAACCACTGTGTCAAGTTCATGCAAGTTCACTTAATGTGTTTACAGATTTGCACACAAGCATAATTAACAGTATATAACTTTTTAAAATATTTTAAGCACCTATGGATGAAACATTCAGCAATAAGAAAACACAAATTTAAATCTGTACATTTACGTTTTCCCCTCAATTTCTAACATGCAGCGACATTCCATTGATGATGTCACACAGTGCTATCTACTTTCAAATGTAATCAGCTGTAACCGAGCATGCAGTGTTTGCTCTGTCCAGCACAGACCACAAGATAAACTGGAGGGTCTCTAGTCCTCACTTGGCAGTCAACATAATCCCAAAGGTGTTCAATGTGATTCAGATCAGGGTAATTCTTTTATGGAATTGGATTGGTGGTGCTTAATTAATGTTTATGTGTAGAGATGAAAATTCTGGGTAAGAAAAGGTCTTCAGCTAACCATGCTTGCTGTAAAAGGCGACTATACTTGTCGGAAGAGGCGACTAGCAAGATCGGGTGGTCAGGATCACTGACTTGGTTGATGCATGTTGCAGCTATATGACAGCGGTCTGTAAAATCTCTCCTCCCTCCCCACAGATTCCCTGTGTTTCACAAGGAAAGAGGTTGTATTAACACAATAGTTGTTATTGTATGACCTCTGACCTTCACACCTCCCAAATGTTGACACCATTGATATCTGTCAAACTGATTGTAGGGGAATGGCAGATGGAAGATGGCCTGCACACCACTGCGTAAGCTCTACTAGTCTACAACCACTTGAGCTAATAATATGTGAGTTCTAAAGTATGGATATGTCACCCCACTCAATTTAAGACTTATCAATTGAGATTACCATCAAGGTTCTGTATGATCTTCCTTCGATGAATGCTGTTGTTGATTCCACATTCACACTTGAGTTCATCTTCAGATAGACAGCGAAGCATGAACTTATCAACACCCTGGCGTAACATGTAGTAGGTGTACTGAGAGAGGTCAGGGGTCAGACTCATCAGCCATGGGTCAAGCCCTGTTGCGTCACAAGAGGTGTAGTCAGCAGAGATCTTCAGGGATTTCAACTCTCGTAAGAATCTGTTTTCAAATTTAATTCAGTTAATGAAATATGCAAAGGTTATGTCATTTATATTATCAGAACAAAGGATATATTCAGAATTAATATGAGTGAGTAGGTGTTGGGTAGGTAGGTAGGTTGGTTGGTTGGTTTAATGCTGCTTTGAACAGTATTCCAGTTATATCGCACAGTGTTGGCTTAATGTGGAAGGAAAGCCAGAAGAGATGCAGATCTCAGACCCACAAGCAAGGGCATGGTGCTGACAAGCCTAGAAACATAACTGGGGCAAACTGTGACTGGAACCCACAATCATCGGTTCTGTCCAAGGGAGGCAACTCTGCACAGCCTTATTGCAGCATCTTGGACTTTTGGGCCACCAGTACCCCCAATATTTGTGGGAAATCTATCCTCAAAATAATCATTACATAAAAAGGTGACAGTTGACAGATTAAGTGACCTTGTCCAAAGAACCTATATGCCGGTCTCTGCATGGTTAACCATAAATAGAATCAATGGACTTCAAATTACGAACATGCATCAAACAGAAGACCCAATATTGACACCACAAGACATATGCATGATCCTTCAAATGCTACATTCCTGTGGCAGACTGTGTGCAAAACATCTATAGAAAGGGATTGGTGAGAAAACTCTGTTATGCTCCTTTAATAATTCTACATTGCACTTTGCATGAAGCAAATAACCAGCATTTGACCAGTGTGAACAAAATGGACAATGTGTCAAGTAGATACTAAACAAGAGAAGGAGGTTTGGCACAGATCCCCTTCCATAAAATAGTGCCATGGCACTGTAGCTCATCTTGATGTATAGTCAACAGTTTAAAAAGACGACAAAGACAAATCCTTTTCAAAGGTTGTCAGCATTGATATACAAATATCCATAAATTATGAGGACTAATAACTGCTTCTAAATATGCAAAAACACAGTTATCTCACTTTTCTATCTAAAAAAATGTATTTTCTTGATTTTTTAGACACTTCAACTTTATAATGGAGAAAAACATTTATTCTGAATTTCAGAAAATTTAGGTAAATAGATTATGGTGAGTGAGTTGGGTTTTAATGCCTCTTTGAACAGTATTCCAATTATATCACAGCGTGTCAGCTTAATGTGGGAGGAAAGACCAAGGTGATGCAGGTCTTTGATGTTTACCACTTTGGTGAAACCTACGAACGCGGGCATGGTGCTGACAGATTATAAGAAAAAATGAAAACAATGTCTGTGTCTACTAAAGTTAAATGTCTTTGATGATCCCTTGCATCTTGTTATAACCATCACTATCAAATTAACAATAAAATCCTCATGATTTCAACAAAGTATGATGTCATCATAAGAAGACTGGCTGGGTAATGGCCACAAACAGGTGTTTTGTGTTGTGCAGCTGAGAACCTCGGGAACAAAGTGGAGTCGTGAGCCATCAGCTCACTTGACTTTCAAGTAAAGTCAAACTTTTGGAATTGGTACTTGGCACTTATAAAGATTACTTGCAGATTGGTCAAAAGAGGGACACATATTTGAGTAGGGTGCTTATATAATGGCAAAACTGGTATTTAAAAAAATAATAATCATAAGTGAAACAGTTTGGTATATTAGTCATTCTTCAAGTTTGTCCATTTTCCAAAGGTCACAGACTCCTGCTTATTTTACTGACCTGTCAGATAGACAGTTTGCTCAAATACATTGTCATCATATAATATCCAGAATATCATATAATATCCACAACAAAAGATTTCACTATTACACAATTCCTTCTATATGATGCTCAGAACTTATCAATCAACCCTGATACATGATAAGCCCTACTACTAACTACACTTATACTACATTAGTTGACATGTTTATCCAGAAGAAACAGCTATAAGAAGTTCAGTTTTCAGAATGATGGATGTGCAAAAATCAAATCAAGGTAAAAATATAAAATATAGCAAAAATACATATGCTGAGCCCACTACTGACTACACATTAACCAAATTTCATTACATTTTACACAGTAGTAATGGCGAAAAGAGTTGCAATTACAGCATAATTGAAAGTAGTCAGCTATAATATGGACGTATGGATACAAGGACGGCAGACAACATACCATGTCTTAAGAACACTTGGACCACTGATCCTGCTGAGAAGCGACTGGGGTGCAGATTTTATCGAGTACCTTACTACTTCCAGCCTATGACAGCTTTAGTTTCATTTCAACTTTTTTCTTATTACTTTGTATGACCTTGAGGGAGAATTGCATGTTTTAGTTGTAACAGCAACTGATTGGGGACAACTTTTATCTGAATAGACATTTAATTCCAAAGGGTAATTGCCCTGTAGCCATGACATGTATATGTCTAGAACCACTTAACTGCCATTACTTTAAGATGCTAATCCCCATTGTATTGTACATCGACTGTCAGCCAACCTGAATGAGCTGTTCAACTATGTCACTTGTGATTGTTACTGTTGTTTATATTTATGACTTAATCAGTTTTAGATGACCTTGGATATAGGAGCCTTGGTCAAGAGACAAAAGATAGGAAGGTCTAGCCCTCAGCATAGCTCGGGTTGGGCAAGGTGGTCTCAGGGCACCAACACAACAACCACTACCACTATGTGCTGACCTGGGACAAAGTGCTTCTTGTATATACATATGCGTACCTGTATAAAGCAAACTTGTATACACCGCAAGCCTTTACATGTTGTCACTTCATACAGACAACTGTACACCAACCCTTTGTACATAGCAATATGCAAATAGTCATTATCACATATGCAGCCAACGCATTGTTTTAAACCTCCAATGACGTCAACCTATAGTTCTTCAATAGGGGTTAAAATGGGGATTTTATAACATGAGAATGTCCTTTGCGAGAGATTTGTTTTGGATTTGAACACGAGGCAATGTGCAGAGTGATGTTAACTCAAAGATAAGAGTAAAACAGACCAAGTTGTGTGGGACTGTTTGTGGACAATACTCTCATTTCTCATCCTATATATGCAGATGATTTTGTAATAATTTTCAATGTGAAATTTACACGATATACAGCTTTTCCATTGGACGAGAGGTTGGTCCCATGACCACAAAACTGAAGTTCATAAGTGTTTGAACAACACATTTTGACGTTCATATGTTTTTCACGAGACTGTATTCTTGAAATAACGTAAAAACTGGCGGACTAATTCCACATTCCTGGGGGCACCCCTGGAAATTCCCGAGCACAAATAAATACAGAAGTGTTGTTTCTCATCATTCAATCTTAAACGCAGCGTTTCAGCATAAAGAAACGTCGGAGAGTTTGACTACATGATTGTTCATGAATATCCTTGCTACGACCCATGCTAGTGAACAAAATTTAGAAATGAATATGCACTATCGTAGTATCGACTTGACCCGTGTCTAGACTGACAGTTACAGTCTGCAGCAATCTATGAATTTACCTTTAAGTATCTATTTCACAAATATTTACAATCATCTTTCAATGATCGGCCAACTGGTCAATGGTGACTAACACATGTAACCGCCACAGGTTCATTAACAGATTCAGAAATCTCTCCCTTCACGTTTATCGTGTCGGCCATTTTGACGTCTTGTACTTGATGTAAATGTATTACGAGGTAGTTCTTAACAGACCTTTCTCACCAAATGATGATATTATTTACATATATTTTTTCACAACAGACATTTCTGTAAAGCAAGTTGAGCATACTTAAGCTCATGTCACCTATCTTTATGGGGAACTATTTAATTCCGCAATACAGCTGGTTGTTGTATGGCTGTCAGTGTAAACATAAAGTCACACATATATATCTAGTGCTACATCCCTCGAGGTATAAAAGAGGGATATCAAAAAGTATAAGCATTGACTTTCACTATGTGTGAGTTCATTGGAGTATGAACCTTCACAGAGTAAGGACCAAACAGTGTATGAACGTCTTCACAAGCTCCGATGTTCATACAGTTTGGCCCTCACCCTATGAAGTGTCAGTCAATTTTTAATTATAAGACAGGCCAATTACAGACCAGTCATCTGACATTTGACATATTTAGAATTGGAATGCTTCCACAAATCGATCATAGTGCTATGACTGTCATAAATCTATGTTAAAGTATCAGACTTATGATTGTCTTAGCTCTACGATCACTTATAAAAGACTTTCCATGCTCCGCATTGTGTCTGTCAAAGTATATATCATCTCGAAACCAAAACAGGATGGCAGATGTGCCACCAGAAAGGACAACAGATGACACCTTTGAGTATCAGGGCTACTGGTCTTTGACGAGTTCCCCCAAAGAGAGTACAGTACTTTCATTGTCCACTGATAAGTGATTTCATCTGTGTGTATTTATCATTCTTCCTATGTTTCAGAAGTGTGCATGTAACATGTGGCACACAGAGAATCGCACCTGCAGATTGACTTTTGATGTAAACACAATTGAAGCCAAGTAAGTAGAAAACTAGGTAGCCTACTTCACAATGCCAAGTTCAGAAAACTGCACAGGAAGTATAATAAATTTGACATTCCCTTATATCTGTTGATCAGCCCTAATTGGGGAATCCATAAGACCATTAGTACTCAGCTAAATATCCCACAACACAAAACACATAGATGATAGAGGTATTTAGAGTGTTTAAAGTTGCTCCTACCTCTTTCTGACAATGCTGGAGGTCATCTGCAGGCCTTCCCGGAGATCATCATCATTGAGTATAAGCAGCAGGTCACCATCAACCTCAGCTTCCTCCACATGACTTGAATACTTGCTGAATCCAACCTTGGAAACATAACAAATGTTGTAATGGGAAACACTTCCTTTCTTGACAAAGTATTATGTGTCTTGTACATAGTAATTGCAGGTAACATTCACTATCAATGACCCTAACTAGCAACTCATTTTATAGATCAGTCCCAGACAAATTCTGTGATACTGTGATCATGGAAAGGTTTGAAGAAATTTTGACTAGCCACAGAATTGCAGTAAAATAGCAAAAATTGTCTTTTATACATCTCTCAATTTTTATTATTTACAAGCTTTTCTCTCAAATTCTGCACTCAAATGATGCCATTTAACACACAATTCAAACATAAAAAATATGAATTTTACAATAAAATGAAATTGGAAACAAGTATTTGTCACAAAGTGACGAAATGTCCCCCGCCTGTATATACACCATAGTACCAAATATGAAGACAACCCAGCGATTAGTTCTTGAGATATCGCGGCAACACCGTTTTCCAACTCCAAAAGCAGATTTGCCTGCTGTGACCTTGAAACTGGTGTCTGCGGAGTCTGTATATACACCATAGTTCCAAATATGAAGACAATCCAGCGATTAGTTCTTGAGATATCACGGCAACACCGTTTTCCAACTCCAAAAGCAGATTTGCCTGCTGTGACCTTGAAAATGGGGTCAAGGTCACCAAAACCGACTGGTGTCTGCGGAGTCTGTATATACACCATAGTTCCAAATATGAAGACAATCCAGCGATTAGTTCTTGAGATATCGCGGCAACACCGTTTTCCAACTCCAAAAGCAGATTTGCCTGCTGTGACCTTGAAAATGGGGTCAAGGTCACCAAAACCGACTGGTGTCTGCGGAGTCTGTATATAAACCATAGTTCCAAATATGAAGACAATCCAGCGATTAGTTCTTGAGATATCGCGGCAACACCGTTTTCCAACTCCAAAAGCAGATTTGCCTGCTGTGACCTTGAAAATGGGGTCAAGGTCACCAAAACCGACTGGTGTCTGTGGAATTTGTATATACACCATAGTTCCAAATATGAAGACAATCCAGTGTTTAGTTCTTGAGATATCGCGGCAACAAACAGGTGGGACGTACGGACGGTCGTGAATACTATATCCCCCGCTTCGCGCTTTCGCGCGGCGGGGGATAAAAACATGAAGGGCAAATGGATCCCAAAATCTCCTGAAACTGACAAATTCTTGAAAAGGCTGCTTTTGATGCAGTTAGTCCGTGCATGAGCATTGTCGTATGCACATTATGCTTATATACACTGATATATTTATTGGAAAGAAAAAGACTATTCTGTCTGTGCCATTGCAACAACAACAGGCGGTCACCAATCACAGTGCCATCTCCCTACACATCAGTAGGAATAATGTTGCTGTTAGTGAACTGGTAGTGTGTGTGAACTGGTCAGTGAATTGGGTATTGTTTATCATTAAATTGGATTAGTGCAAGATATTAAAAACATCTACATGTTTGCTATGGATGCTCTTCAGTGAGTAGACAAACAGAATGCTAGCACCAGTAACCTGTTGACAAGGGACAACATAGGTAATGACAGCTTCACCAGTCAATAACCAGTTGAGTACATAGTGGTAACTAGTGGTACCTGAGAGACCCAGTAGGAGACATCATTGACAGTCCATAGCGGCACCTGCTGTGACAAACGATGTGGGATTTTTTCACCTATCACCTTCAGAGCCTCTGCTGCTAGTTTTGAAGCCACAGCATTGGGGCTGCTTGCTATCTTCTTGAGTGGTTGTACTGCACATATCTCATGGAATATCTAAAGAGAACAATTACAGATTAAAATAACAACATATATGATGATATAGCAATGATCAAACAGCAATGAAAGTAGCTTTCATCAAACAAAACCCCATATTGATTGACATAAAGTATCGGAATATTCCAGTCTGCCTTTTGTAAGAAACAGAATCATTGCCTTTCCTGGAATCTTTTCCTTCTCTTCATACGTGAGGTTTTTGACAATTCTTGTAATTACCTTACATGCTGGTGAGAACTGTATTCCACAAAGACTGGTGGATTCGTACATCTAGTAATACCCTGGATAAATTAACAGAATCTTGAGAGAAGAAACTTTAACCCCAATTACCATGATTATTCCCATCCTCTCAAATTCAGCCATTTGGGGTACTGAAAGATTCCTAAAACAACTCATTATCTGTTGTTTTAACCAAATATTTAGATTTAATAATAAACAGAATCACCGCCAAATGTCTGAATTTAGAATAATGTCAAGGACATGAGCAAATACATACACGTAGTAAACTTCCATAGAACTACTGGTATATTTGTATCTCCAAACCCCTTTCATGACGTCATCCATTGAACCTTAACAGTTGGTCCTTCCAGACTCAGATGTCACTTTCGGTTCTATTGGCATCACTCTACTGGCCTTGACATCATTCTGATGACTTCTTTGCAAAGCACTAGCCATTAACCTATGACCTGCAGACAATATGGTACAGTAGGTTAACCTTCCCTCCAAGGTTGCTCCTGCAGTATGGTCTTGCTCCCCCATCCACCCCAACCCCCCTCCTCCCCAACCCCCCTCCTCCCCAACCCTTCTCCTCCCTTTTTTCCACTAGGAAAAAGCTACTGTGTCACAATTGAATCTGCTGCTACCACTGGACTGAGACTAAAAAGTTCCCGTAAGTCTGGTTGTATGTCTCGCAAGCAGAAGCTAGTAAATGTGTTTCGGGATCTCCAATGGCGGCCAACGGCTGGAGACCAAATGTTCCATTGAGTTCCAGGATGCAAGGCTGGTAGACAATGCTCTAATTTTGTGAATTTTTAATGATAAAAAATACAGGAGTTGTTAACTCTACATGCTGATAACTGTGGATCGTAGTTTTCAGCCATCTGGCTTCTGTGGCATTAGTAATGTCTTTCTTGAGGATGTCTCACACGAGCTGAAAAGACGTTTCCTGTGCCTCCAATGCGTCTGAGGAAGCCGTAGGCTGTACAACTTTACATCTTCCTGCCATGGCCGCTTGTTCGAGGGATCTACTGCATCCACAGACGTAGAGGACAGCGCCTTAATCATCTCCTTCGAAGCTTCTTCCTCTTGGCCTTTTACCAGTAGTGCACCACCTTTGTGATGTCTTGGGAGAGACAAGGACTCAGGGCATCTCATATCCTGTGTGCATTTCATGGGTCTGCCCTTTGCAACAGAGCTTGAGTGGGTCCATCTGTAGCTTTTATAGTGTGATGACAGCCAAAATACAGGATTTATAACTATGATGTAAAAGAGGTAGGGTATTCACAAGTATTATACTATTCCTAAAGTCACGTATCATGCTTAATTACAAAAGTAATATCATTTTGGGTAACTCTTAGTAATCTGATCATATCATATTGGGTAAATGTTAGTAAACTGATCATATCATATTGGGTAAATGTTAGTAAACTGATCATATCATATTGGGTAAATGTTAGTTAACTGATCATATCATATTGGGTAAATGTTAGAAACTGATCATATGATATTGGGTAACTGTTAGTAAACTGATCATATGATATTGGGTAACTGTAAGTAAACTGGTCATATATTGGGTAACTGTTAGTAAACTGATCATATCATATCATATTGGGTAACTGTTAGTAAACTGATCATATATTGGGTAACTGTTAGTAAACTGGTCATATATTGTCAAGATGATCTGATTGATAATCAAGATCTATATTGTAATAAAATGGGTCTTATCCTTTGAAGTGAATAAAATCACATGAGCTCCTTAAAGGGGCACTAATCTCTGGCTTCTTCTCGGCCGTCTGACACTTTCACTGGGGCTCACTAGCTGCCGTGAGTCGATTTGCTCGCTAATTCAACAGAGCGTGACAAGAGACTGATTTCTCCTATACCATCCAGGTACTCACGGGGAGAAAACAATAATGAAGGCAACAACCAGTCCAAGGGAATTGCTTTAGATCAGTGCCCCTTTGATTAATGAATAACATGAAAAGATCTGCAAAATATCTGTCGATGCCCAGACAGCGGTACACATACTTTGCAAATCCTGCAGTTAACCGAAACCTGCATGTTGTATTACATATCGTTTATGTACTAGATGTATAGTTTGCTACCCCAATTTTGATTGGACTATACACAGACTTGTTAGTCCAGCCAAAATATAACTCTGGAATTCCAGCCCAGTTCGGCTAGGGTTGAAACTGAACTTTAATACCGTATATCGCTGTGTATAAGGCGACCCCACGTATAAGACGACCCCCCTGTACACGCCTTAAAAATCAACCCAAAATCCTATACTCCGTGTATAAGGCGACCGGGAATGAAACATATCACAAGTCTGACTGATATAGAAGATTAACGTGCGCTTTCCGACTGTAGCGTATTTCGCACACGGACATCAGAAGTTAGTTAGTTACTTTGGAGATTTAACGTGCGCTTTCCGACTGATGCGTATTTCGCACACATCACAAGTGCGCACACAAACCTTATATATGCAATAAAAATATGTTTATCTTGCGTTGGTTTTTTTCTACAACGATAGGTCGCGTGTGTAACTCCAGCACACGTCGCCATTTTGTGTTTACACGGTACGACACCAAATTGGGGCCCGTAAAATAAAATTCATTTATGAAGTAATAACATATAAGAGACAATGGTGAGTAATTTAATCGCCAATTAACTATGTTGTAACTAACTAGGCTTATGTTTGCTTCACATTCAGCGTGTTTATTCCACAATCACTTGTACACACCGTCTCCAACACTTGTTAATACAACTGTAAAAACAGCGGGAATTGATTTCAGCTTCACCGGTTATCACATGTTAGGTCACATGTGCAATATGCAAATGCTTACCGGTACTTCTGGCTCTCTACTCGTGGATGTTGATTGTTTTACCGTGTCAATCTGCATCGAGGCGAGGGTCATTTCAACTTTATTTGCAGAAATTATTAAACTTTATTCAAGGAAAAGAGATACAAATCATGTTTATGTATGGACATAGTTATTGGAACAGTTATTGAGGACGAAATGCGAAGTTTTATTGTCAAATGCTGGGCTGGCTATCGGACGCCGGTTGACATCGCCAGTGGGAAAAAATGTGAGATCTTCGACTCCGTGTATAAGACGACCCCCCTTCTTAGCCCCCTTATTTTAGGTACGAAAAACTCGCCTTATACACAGCGATATACGGTAGTCAGTTAACGCCCTTGCCTCGGGAAGATGGAAAATGTATGTACAATATACTGTGTGGAAATGTAATAGATAACAGAAACTGTACGGAGTCTATGAATCTAAGCCCATTACTTTGCTTTATTCTGGCTTTCCCATCCTTGTCCCTATAATGTATATTTTTAGTCAACAAGAACGATATGTATTTTTCCATATTGTTAGGAATGCACGTTAAACCGCCGTCAGTCTTTGAGATAGCTTGCATAATGAGATGTGAATCATATCCCCTAAGGTTATGAAACACAACGGGGATGGGTATTGTTTCAGAATTCATTTTTAGTTTCAAGTTACACTCGTTATGCGCGGCCCCCCGATAATTACCCGTGACATGGCAATGATCTCTTACGGAATCCCCATTCAGGGGTTTATTACAAACATGACAACTCGTTGACTTCTTATGGGCCCTCCAATCATCCCTTGTCATACACATGTGTTTCTTACGCGATAAATTTTCCCTGATTATTCTCTCTTCGTTTTGTAGATATTCTAGGAACTTTCCCGCTGCATCGGGACCTCTGTAAATCATGGGCGGGTTTGTTTTCCCATCATACCTTACAACTATATATCCAAACCCACAAGGAATATGTTCTTGAGTTTTGTACGTAAAACTACTATCAGTATTGCGTTCGGCATTTTCTATGGGTTTGATAAGCGCTTCAAAGTCGGCGTAAATTACATACGGTACTGGCATTTGATTACAATAATGTTCAAATTTTAATATATTTTTTCCCTCTTTAGGCATATCGATCCTGATAGCGGTCTGCCCAACACCTCTACAGTCTTCTTTATGCGCTTCTAATAGATCTTGTCTGCTGTACCCATGTAGGCATCTTTCGCAGAAATATTTCTTTCTAGCATGTTTTGTTTGATCGTATAATAGCCTGTTTAATCTCTTTATCCATGTATAATGATATTTTCCATCTTTTTCGATCAGAAATGAATTGATTCTGGGGATATGTTCCGGAGCGGAGCTTATCCTGTGTACAACAATTCCTTTAGAATGTCCGAAAACATTTATAGCTAAATTATTTTGCTTTTCCACCTTATAAATTTGTGATATTGGTGTAGGTTCGTCTATACCATCGAAGTTGAGTCCATCGTTTTGGGGATAGCTAGAAGGTCTATTTGCAATTTTAGAATCTACGGGGAACAATGCAGATCTTATCATCATTCTTTAACAGTCATCAGATTGATTTTTTACATTAATTATGGCTTTTTTCTCTATATAAGATCAACCTTTGAAAGGCATATAATTTGCTATATCTAAATATAAACTATCGATTTTATCCACACCCCAACCAGAACCTCTATTTGTCCAGCGTTCTAAAGTTTCCTGTATCCTCTGAATTGATGTATCTAATGATGCGTTTATAGTATCGGATTCGGTTATAACTTCTTGATTGCTTCAGAAATATGGTTCGGTATATTCGGTGCTATCGTCTGCGTTACTTTTACTTAATGACATTTTTATCATCAGCTGGTATTTTATACTATGTAAATCATCTAACTCCTCGTTAATTTTGCTCGATATGATGGGCTTAACATCATTAACATCCATGT